TGCAGTCATTTCCATCAGGTACTTTCATTTCTGTAATTGAACTCTCTATTTTATGGTTTTGAGTAACATTGATTAGGTGGCATGTTTTTATGAACTCCACAGGTGGAAGGAGATAAAGAGGTTGGGAAAATGTCACCATTGGTACATGCACTTCGTTTAATTTAACATTTTTCTTGTTCAAGTTAACAATGTAAATCTACCTATGTTACTTATTTTCCATTTCTCTTTCAGGTTAGACTTGGCACTGAAAAAGGTGCAGAGGTAGTGAAAGGGGCAGTTTTGATGCTTTATGTTCTTTTGGCTGCTTTTGGTCTAAGCAAGGCACTTCCTCTCACTTGTATAGTATGTACTTCTAAACTTAGTCATTTTTTGCATCTCATTTATGATATTTTCCCTTCTTTACGGTTATAGTTGTTGTTTGTGTTAATTTGGACCATGCACTAATGATTGTTCTTCTGGTTATGAATATGACTGTACTAGTTCCTTTGTGCATTGACCTTGCCAATGGGAAACCTGGTCATTAGATTTGTCGAAGACAATCACAAGGCAAGTGAAAGACTGGTGCTGAGTTTTTGTTTCCCTGGTGTATTTCTTGTACTTTGCTAAACGTAAGTTGTATCTTTCAGGACAAAAATAAGATTTTCATGGCTAAGTACTTCTGTGTAAGGCTGCATGCTTTGTTTGGAGTTGCTCTGGCCTTAGGCCTAGTACTGGCTAGAAAAATAACATTTACGTCATGGCCAATATTGAGTTGAAGATTGGCTTGTGGAAAGAGGAAGTAATGTGCACTATGGGGTGAAAAACCATAACATTCTGGTCACCAACACTTTCTTCTGCATATATGGCTTCGAAACAATTCTTACTTTCTTGCCCTTCTTGTGGCCAAATGAGTTTGAAGAAACTGAATGACATTGATAACAATCAAGAGTTGTACAGAAAGCAGAAGATGGTTCCACTACACAGCCGCCTTTCAGTGTTAGCCCTTAGTTGATTAGAATCACAACTACAGCTGCTGCTACGAATTTTTTTTTTGTGAAATCAGATCACATGGAGATTCTTTAGTATTTTACAACAAACTATACAGATTACAAAGAAAATTGGATTTATCATAGAGCGAAATCCTTCAAGCTTTACTAATTAATGAAATGAGATGTGTAAATAACAATAAAAATTAGTGTGTAGGCTTCTATTATTCATGATAAAGTAGGAAATATAAGAAGTTGAAAGATGTTGTATAACTAAAATATGTTTAGTTTATATTTTTTCATGGATTAAATTGTTATCGATTTACACATACAGAGACTAAAATAGTCATTTGTCCTATGACATCTAGTACAATTAAAAATACCTTACAACTTGTAACATAATTATTGTGTTGTTAAAAGGTCCTAAATATTTGTTATGACGAAATTGAAATATGCAAACTTTTATTTATTTATTATTATATATATTTATTGACTTGTGATTAAAATATGAGCTACATCTCTCCTAAATTTATGTTATGTGGGAAAACAATCAGGGTCAACAATAATCACAAAGTAGGACTAGACTTTTACCCCATGAAATGATATAGACCAATCATCTTTCAAAAGGGTTCTGTTAAAGAAAACACAGACAAAAATAATTAGCAGTATTGCCACCAATTATATATAATGGGTCATCTTTGATAAATTATAGGGATGAACGATTGGTCAGTTAGAATTTAAGAGATGTTAAGATTTAAAACATGAATATTAATCATTTTGAGATATGTTTGGATTTGTCAATTGTTTTTACATTTATCCAACTTGAGTACATTCGATCATGTAATTATATTTATTATACAATATAAAAAACATGGAATAAAATAAATAAAAATAAAATCATGTTAAAATAGAGTTAAATGTCATAATTATAAAATGACATAAAATGTTATAGAATTACACAGTTTAAATGATAAAAAATTTACAAATGAGATGAAACATGTGAGAAATAGCATGCTAAATGAGGTAGTGAAGAGCAAAATAGGGGTCCTCTTGACCGGTTCTCCTTCTTCTTCAACTTAGGTCCTAACATAACATTCTTTTCTCAATTTCCCATCTTCTCTGCATTGTTTTCCAAATTGGAAAAGGAGAGGAAACTATTGACATACAAAATAAAAAAATAAAAAAACAAAAGGGACATGCATGCATGCATAACGTGAAACCTAAGACAGTGTAACATTAAAATGTGGGTGTTCTATATGTTCTCATTGCCCGTGGCTATTGGCATGGTCATTGTTACTTTGAGTTATTTCTCTGGGCCTGATGTACCCAGATATGTGTTCTTCACCGTTGCATACACCTGGTTCTGCTCTGTCTCCATCATCATCCTCGTCCCTGCAGACATTTGGACGGTATTTCTATGCAAATTTGTCAATTCATACACATATATGTCAGTTTTCTATGGTTTTTGTTGTTTCTATACATGAGACAAGAAATAGAGTTAAACATTGAAAAGAAAATGGCTTTCTAGTTGAGTAGTAATCAATAAAGAAATAGAATGAAGTTATAGAGTTTATTTCTTTCATTAACAGATATTTACTTTTAGGTATTTGATTCACTGCAACTTGGTCAAGTCATTTCCCTTCATTGATAGGCACTAAATAATTATGAGAGTGGAGCAATTTCCTTCTTATGGAGTTTGTCATATTGGAGTACCTTCTTACTTACATGGTAAGCTGCTTCAATATAATATGGTCCCACTTGACTCTAATTCCTCTGAAATTCAATAGCTTTATATGATGTTTGTGTATGTTTTTCCATCAAGTCTTCTACACAAATTCAAATTCCTTTTAAGCTACCCTTTGTTTCCTTGTTAGTTATAGCATGTTAAATATACAAATAAACTCACACACATGGAGGAAAGAAGCAGTAGCAGCTATAAGACCGACATTTAGAATATTTCCATTAGTTTTGTAATTGACAACATTTTGATTTTTTTCATGAGTTATCCTAGTTGATATGAAATTATGTGCAATATTTAGGATGTTTATGGCAGCTAGGTGAATAGAAATACACACTCATAGTTCTGTATTAAATTATTTCTCTAAACAGGGCTGTGGTTCCCACTATTCAGGGTTATGAAGATGCTGGAGACTTCACAGTGAAAGAAAGATTGAGGACCAGCTTACACGGCAACCTTGTATTCTATCTGTCTGTCGGTTCTGTAGCACTATTTGGAGTCATCTTACTGATTTCTTTACACAAAAATTATTGGTCTGCTTCTTTCTTTTATATTTCTGTTATCTTTCATTTGTTTACTTGAATCATTGGATGTGAACACTTCTAGTTATCTGCAAATTTTATGTTACATAATTTTCAGGAGTGGTAATATTTCGGGTTTTGCCATGGCTTGCTCCAATACGTTTGGACTGGTTACGGGTGCATTTCTACTTGGATTTGGTTTGAGTGAAATTCCAAAGGGCATTTGGTTGAATGCAGATTGGAACATTGAGCAAAAGGTTCTTTCACATAAAGTTGCAAAAATGGCAGTCAAATTAGATGATGCTCATCGTAATTTTTCAAATGCTATTGTTGTAAGCCATTCGTACCATTTGTCTACAATCAATGACCCTCTAACAATTAAATTTCCATTTTCTGTAAAGCCTTCTGAATTTGCATTCATTGTCTCTTTCCATGTAATTTTAAGTATCCTGCCCTGCAATATCAATCATTATTGATCCAATTTCAATTTGAGGACTGCAATAAACCTGTAGAAAGTTTGCCATTCTTTCATCTTGATAAGTAACATTCAAAGCAAATCTGCATTGCAATGATAAAGAGAAATGCTTTCTTTTTTATCCTTTATTCTTTGCAGATATGATTTTTCATGGTGTGCCATTGTCAGATCACACAGGCAACATCAAAGCAAATGTCCAAGCGGGATTCTTTGAGACCCTACATGAATATAATTGACAGAATGTTGCTTCAGATGGTAAAGTATTTTTATACATGCTGCTATTTTGCTTCAAAATGTTGTGCTGATATATACATGTTCAAATAACTGGTTTTTCCAGTTGAAGGAAGACCCCTCCTTCAAACCACAGGGTGGAAGACTCGGAGAAAGTGACATGGATTATGACAGAGATGAAAAATCTATGGCATCACTGAGACGTCGTCTTAAGAGAGCTCGTGAACAATACTACCGATATAGAAGGTAGCCACTGATACATAGAAGTTGGTCCAGTGTTATGCAAGACTTCTCCTCTAAGAAAATCCTTTGCCTCATTGAAATACCTTGAAACTGCATGAAATCTTGACAATTGAATGCAACACGGCTAGCAAAATATAGGTTAATGAGTTGATCTTTTGTACATGTATGTCCTCTTGTGCTGTACACAGTTTAGTTTATATGATGATGTGTTCGTTTCTGAAATGCCATTTGATACAACATACCATAATACTTCACTGAAATACTCTTATTTTCAATAGATACATATTCTCTGCATGTCCTAAGTAAATCTGTGTTATGAATATCTTACTATTATTATCTTTATTGTTATCTTTTTGCAGTGAATACACAAAATTTGTTTTAGAAGCCCTTGAGCTGGAGGATACCATAAAGAATTATGAGCGTCGTGATATTACAGGATGGTTTGTCTTAACCTACACTTTTCTCAATTTTCAGTCTCTTCATGGTCTGTTCTTTTGACAGTGAACAAATTATGCAAGTAGTAAGCAAACTTTGTGAGACAAAAGGGTTCTTCTAGCCAACAAATTTGAAAGCAATATAGGGAGAGAGAATCTGCTATTTATTGTGAGATTAAAGATATATTTAAAAGTAATTTTTTCTTCCTGTTGCAGGAAATATACTTCATGCTTTAGGCCTGAACGCATAGGCAAAGTAGGTGCATTTTTGGAAACATGTGGTACTTTCCGCTTATTAAATTTATGAGAGCTATTTCTACTCTTTTTCTGATAAATGTTTGTACTGTCACCAATAGACTCACTGGTTATACTTTATGTATTAAAACTGATCTCTTTACAATAAAATCTATGTCCCCAAATATAAAAGCTATCTAGATGTTCTACATCACAATGAAGTCATTTTGTTTTCTTTTACAAAAGTATTAGAGTTTGGATGTGCACAAAAAGTTTCTTGTTAGGTAATAAACAGAAGCATTATATCTGACTGAAATGTAAATTTATCAGAGTTTCTATGGAAATGCATATTATGGAAACATGTTGAGAAATCATTGGCTGTTATATTGGGCGTCATGTCATTTGCAATTCTATTAGCAGAGGCTACCATACTGACCAGTGGAGTTGATTTATCCCTTTTCTCTATCCTAGTACACGCTGCTGGACAGCAAGAAGTGCTTGTGCAGGTAATTTATGTAGGCTTGTTCCAATATACTTTTCTTTGAAATAAAGTAATTTTCTTAATTTCTTCTGCTGTCAATGCTATATTTTTTCCTATGATAATCAAGTTTCACTTTGTCATTAATACCATAATCCAATGAAGTTCCATCGGATTTTGTGACTTCGAATTATTGATATTACTGGAAAGAATTATCATAAAAGAAAGAAGTTTTTTATTTAATTAATTAATTTGAAACAGTACATCAACCTATATATAAAGAAAACCCTAACATGTAGTAAAAATTACAAAGATATGAAGAATCATCTATGAGCTTTCTAACAACTTCAGTAATATACATAATATCCTATTAACAATTCATCCCCTCAAGGTGATGAATGAATATCTATTACTCCTATTTATTACTTCTAGCTCGCATGTGAGATCATAAAATTATTTACTGAAAAAACCTTTGATAAATAAATTTGTTAACTAAAGTCCACATATAATTAGAATAATAATGGGTTAGTTCGGACGCGAATACTTTATGCATTATCTGAAACCAAAGAAAAAAAATTCGATCTATTACTCAATATCCATTTAAAATATATGTACGGGTTTTAAAAATATATATTTTATAAATTTTAAAAATATATAAATAAAATTACAAAAAATATAAAATATAATATAAATTAAATTGAATATAAATTACATTTCAATTTTAATTAAATTAATCTAATAAAATATAAATTAAATTTTAACTAAATTTAACTTAATAAAATATAAATTAAATTTTAATTTTAATTTTTTATGATTAACGAATACTCGCGAGTAAGGATATTAAACTATTTGCCATGGTGCTAATTGTTAGAAATGTAGCCCTTATATCTCAAGTCAAGATGGGTGAATTGGATTTTAAAATCTT